TCATGTTTTATGCTAGGATTGGAGGGGCTAAATTAGTTTCAAAAGACAGCTTAGTTTCAAACTTTCAGGACAGCATATTCTCGAATCTATTCCCTGTCATATATTTTAATTACTATTGCATGTAAATATGATTGTTCTGACTTCTGAGGCCTTAAAAACTTACTGCCTATGTATCACCTTATCATTACATAAAATGTACATGCATGCAATGTTTCTGTTTCTTTTTTCATATAACCTGGCGAAGGCAGTGTCCAAGTTATCTATCTGAACAATTCCTGGAAATCAGATTTATACTTCACATTTAAAACCATAATATAAGATTCAGAATTAAAGGATCTATCTATGGATGTTAAAATAGTTTCTTGATCCATCCACTTGAAATTCTCCTTTCATTTTCATCATTGAACCAGTAATTAAAAGTTTTGCAAAACTCATTTCCAAAATATATAGCAATATGCAAATATTTCATCACGGCAAAGTAAATTATGTAACTGTTGTGCGCCTTGTATATCATGTGCCATTGTTGTGCCTTAAACCAAGAAAGTAGAGTCCCAGATTCCTAAACCTTATGCTTTCGCAACATAGCTTGTTCGCTCATTAAGACATTAACCCTTTCATCATCACTATCCTTTCTTTTCTCTGTTATCAATTATAGCAATACCAATCTAATAAGCATCACAGTTTTGTACATTTAAGCACTACAACTTGCACATTGCTCAAATATTAACCTTTTTACCATTTAGCATTTTCTTTTCTACTCTCTTTCTTGGATACTTTCACGAACAAATTATATTGGATAACAAAAAATTTATTTTTGGCAGAAAAATAAAATAGAACCAGTAATGGAAGCATCCAAGGCAAGTGAAACAGGATTGATCAACCATCCACGCTTATCCTTCATTACAACCGAAGAAGACGACGGAAATTTCACTATATTAGCATCAGAATATTTATCAGAACCGCCATGTAAACCCACCCTATTGCTCTCATACGGCGATTGGTGAAATGAAGGATTGGAAGAATAGCGTTGGAATCTTAGGGAAACCCATGTAAGAAAAAGGAAAAAAGATAGTAGAAATGGAACTGCGTGAGGTTTTTTGAGGAAGAATTTCAGTGAATTTAAAAGGGTTGCAGCAGTTTGCGGGGTTTGGGATTGGAATGGGTTACTGGGGTCAGAAATTGGGAGTTGATTGGAATTGGAATATGAAATTCTCCTCGGATTCGCCATTTTCTCTAATCTAATTCAACATTTTTTTGGTTCTTTTCCCTCTTCGATGAAACACTTCTTTGCTGGAGATTTTCGGTATTTGCAGATGGTTAGGTTGTCATTCTTTATGGCCCAATTTGTATTGGGCCCAAGATGGCAAGATATGATGGGCCTAGCCCATGCCGGCCATCTTTTCTCTCTCTCATGAAAGAGAAGAAGAAGCAAAACGACCACCTCCAGCCAAAAAGCAAAAGTTCTATCGAGTTAATTTTTCTCGGTCTAATATCATTGATCAATTGAGTTAATTTTCCTAAAGCACAGTGTATTGTTAGGCGTTTTCATTGTTGCAGAAAACCTTGAAATTCAAAATGTCAAAAAGACCTCATTTTTAAAAACAAATTTCCATAAATAACCCTTATATTCCTTGACTTTTAAATAACTTCCCACCATCTTATTTGAAGGGTAAATTATGAATCTATAATCTATATTCTATATTCATGGACTTGCAAACTTTCCCAAAAGTCAATTATGGATGTGTTTTTCTCATATTTTCCGATAATTCTATCAATGTGGCCCCCACAGATGCAGAAAATGAAATTGACCAAAAATTCATTTTAATGGGGTTCAAACACACGCATATTTAAGGAATTTTATTTAATGTACACTACTAAACAAAATTTCATGATTGCTTAGCTACGAATACAGATATTTCCAACTCTTTATGCCCCAAATGCCTCGATAAAATAATATGAATAAACCACCACCAAATTTTGTATTGTTTACAATTTACTCTACTCATGCTTCAAAGTTTTCTAGTCCAGGTGATATATTTGAAAACCAACTAAGGGTGCATTTGGTGCTCCACCACTAGGGGTAGATAGGATTAAGGTAAATAATATTAAAGTTGATAGGATTAGAGTGAGATGAAATTGTATAGTTATCATTCTGTATTAGAAGGGTTTTGTCCATTTTTCACCCTAATGTCAATCAAGTAATTATGTTAAAATTTTGTTCAATCAGTAAATGTACTTCAATTTTACATTGTCCAATTCTATCAATCGAGTACGATGTTATTGCAGCAAATAAATGATCGTCATCACATGATAGTGTTAGTCACTGAAGTAGAAGTACAACTTCAATGAAATAAGTGAGTGTCATCATTTGTTGACTAGAATGTCATTAATTTCGTTGGTTCAAATGCACGAAATCACCTGGAGTTACTCGATTGGGATTAAAGTATAGTTATCCAATCGAACAAAACTGAATTAGTTATTAAATAGATTTTTTATTTGTGTTCTTGGTTTGTCGCTTGTCTTTTGCAACAAATAGTACATACAAATGAATGCTATTAAAGACGTGATGCAAATTTCTCTTCCCTATATCACAACTTAAACTCTTAGATGAGTATTTCTAGTGCCCGCCTAAGCTTTAAATAATATGGTTTAATAATTGAAACCTACTTTAACCAAAGGAAATAGCTTTTCTAACAATTCCAGGAAATTGAGAATTATTAACAGAAGTTTCATCTTCGTACTTCCTTGACCTTTAGGATAACTCCTGAACACTACTATAACTTGTCCTCGGGAAGCGCCAGGAAAGGTTTGAAGGTCATAATCAGGCCAATGAATTCGACTATGTTCAAAACGAAGAAAACCATATGAACACCTGCAGTATAACAAGGTATTTGCTGTTAAAACCAACAATACGAAAACAAAGGGATCTTAGACGACGACGACAACAAAATAAAGTCATTTTGCCAATAAATATGGGTTAACTACCTGAATCATTTTTCACTGTTCTGTTTGGTTGAAATTTAAAGTAACTAGAAACTACGAGACAGCTTGTTAGTTTTAGTGAAACCACAAATTTCATATAAGAGCCTCTACGGGTAGAAACACAGCACTTCTCTACCACTCAAGTCCTTTGTCCCACAGTTTATCCTCAATCTGGGCTACCTCCAGTTGTGGAGGTTTACTCTCGGTAATGATAAAAAAAATATTTCAATATTACAAATTAATAGAGAGTCGCCATAGTACAAGATACCATAATGTAATGTTGCTTTGTATTTGTGCAAATTATTCACTAACTCAGTAAGATCATTTCTTATCATTGTTTTTTATTTTTTTTTTTTGGTCGTTGTATTACTTTAATGCAGCACTGAAGTTCACTTAACAATCAGGTGCTCTTTCCACATTCAGTAAAGAAAATGAATAGATGTAAAGGAAAGAGGGGCAACATCATTTACATCCAATATTAAAAGGTAAAAAATCCTATAAAGGAGCATCCCGTAATTCTGTCATTCAACTAAAAGTAGCTTTAGATTAAAATGACAAGTGTGGATAGAGTCACCACACGGTCCATACCTGGTAAGAAAACCGAATTCTGACGACGTTGTGCCCAAGAGAGTCTGCAAATGTTGAGGACCATCAATTATTGAAGAGAAAATTAACTAAATAGAGGAAAGAGAGCATGTATGTATGAATTTATACACGCATTTTCAAATACATAGTGACGAGTCAATATATATTGGCAAAAATGAGCACATTTTTTGAGTGTTAGCACTGACCATTACATTACATGCTTAAATTCTGTATCAAAATTGACATGGCATAAACTAAAGAGCCACAATGGAAATGATGCAAAGTAAAGCAGGACCAAGGAACAAATCTTGAAAAAGTAAAAGGAGAAAAGAACTGATAAATAGGAGTGAGGTAACTACTTTGGAGGACAGGGATAAAAATGGGAATATATAGAAAAACAAAAACAGATGATGGAAACAACCTGTCACTTTCCTTAATTCATGACATACCAACAGCAATCCCAGATAGAGTCAGACAGAATAAACAGGTATGTAAAACATCATTTTATGATTTAGAAATAACTAAAGAAAAGAGGAGAAAAGAAAGAAACTCACAAGGCACCACCAGCTGCCGGACCAATTGATTTAGAAAGAGACATAGCAGTCATGGATATGCCATTTGCGGCTCCTCTTTGTTGTTGGGACTGAAATTGAAGTCAAAAGAAGTTTGTAAATCCAAAAAATGGTTAGTTTGATAATTGAAAATGAGCAGAACATAAAATTAAAAAAAAATCACTAGAGAAGAAGAACCTTACCACAGCTCTATTTTGCATAACTAGAAAGCCCGTTGTGATGGATAGCTGATTATGTTAATGAATTGATTAATTAGTAGAAAACAATAGAAATTCATGCAATAAATCTTTACTGAGTTCTTTCTTTTTTGGTTTGTTAAGAATTGTCCCTTGCCTTTGGTACACAACTCTGATCAAAATGATGGTTCTCTTTCAATCATCTTCTTTCATTAAAAATTCAGACAATGCATTCAGGTAATTCTTTCAAAAGAACTCGGGCATTTAGCAGAGTTTAACAAGTCAAGCAGAAAAGAAATAAATCTAACTAGTCCACATATTACAAGAAAAACTTAAAATTGTTCCAGTTTCAGATGCTTCGACATCTGGTATATCAAGATATACTACATTATAAAACATTAGATGAAGACGTACAACACACATAATCAAGCAAGTACTAGATGTCTCAACAGATTTTCTTTTTCTGAAAAAGTCTCTATGTATTACCCAAATCCTATTAGCACCATATTATCATCATATCTCTCAAACAAATCCTGATTTGTCACCTACATTGCCACTAACTATACGCACTAATATTTGTTCAAGTTGTAGTGTCATTCACACTTTTCTACTGCTAGTAGCGGCAGTTAGAATTATAGTTTATAAGCACAGAAATGCTTCTGAGTCAATTTTCTAATTTATAGTGCATGCCACTGCTGATATAACTGGCATTACCATTACTTGACACTAGTAAGAGTCACGCATATAATGTCTAACTGGTGGAGCAATACCACCATCAGCTCTACCTCCCTAGAGATGTAGTAGTGGCATAGCACGGTATACAACTCAAGGGGCTAGTCCAGTCCAGGCTTTTGCATGCCGGGCTGCCCGGAACCTGGCAACCTGGCCCATTTTTACACCTCTGTATCTCCCAAGACACAAATGCCATGTGAACACATCAGTTACCATAGCATTTAAAATTTTAGATTAAATATAATTTATTCAGGATAGATAGTTGGATACTCGATAAAAGGAACATCCTTATGTTGCTGTGTCAGTAGCGGCTAATCAGGTACAAACACGGGTGAAACACAGATGAGTAGCTTAAGTGATAAATATATGAACTTATCAGTGAACAATGTGAACTCACAGAGAGCACATTCTTCAACATGGAAGCACAATTGAGCACCAAGAAGAGAATTGAACCGCATAACCGGGCTATATAGGGATAACTTGATAGCAATGGTATGGTTAAAACCTGCGAAAAGAACCATCTGTAACGACAAATGACCAATATACTAAGAACAAATAAAATAAAATAAACAACATAGTTTTATTGAGAGGCCTACAGCTCCAATACGAGAAACCGTGATGGGACCCAAAATCCTCTCTACCCATGGATAAAGAAATAGCTGAAAGAGTAACAAACTGAACCCTGATTGATCAAGGAAAGGATAAAAAAATCCATTAAACACAGCAAATAATGAATTTCGACCAAAAATATGATAGAGACAAGCACTGGTATGATAAAACACATCTGCATTTGCTCACATAAAGATAATATCCAAAAGAAGATGTTACGAGTTATCTTGATCAAATATATTGAGCCCCTGTTTGGACTCCATTTTTCCCAAACTCATTTTCAATCACACATTCTTCCATAAAATAATATTACACGTAAACCCAAAAACCTTTCCTTATTTTTTTACCACGCGTTCTCCAAAAAAATCACTATTCAAGAACACATTTTCCCCCAAAATTTCATTTTAATGGAGCCCAAACAGGGGCTGAATAATTGATCTAGAACATATATAGTATCGTGCAAACTGCAATTATCAATTTGTGATTACTGGTTTGATATAAATTCAATGCGAACTTATGATGGTGAACTTGTTTTACTTTAAAAAGTAAAAGCTATTTCAGTGAATACCTTGCAACAAAAAAAATTACATAATTTTGCATATGTAATCCCTCTGTTCATAAATATAAAATCCATACAATCAATATGAAAATTTTCATTCATAAATTGAGAAAGTTAGCACACAAGTGTGAGTATAGTGTGTCCAACAGTATCCAATATACAATCACGCAGCATATGACATATAAGCATTCACCCTGTTGTTACACATGGGCAAACCAAGAGTTTCCCAAAACTTTCGAGATGTGTCATGCGATCTTGAGTGTTTCAGTGTTTCTTAGCAAAAAAAGGAAAAGCGCCATCTTTTTTTTTAATCATTATATAGTAAATGGAAATAGAGATGCCCTATACAAGCAAAATACAAATATCTTATTCTATCCCTGCTTGGCTAAGGACATTCATGGTTAGAAGTTATATATTTCTCCAATCCCCGCTCCAACCTAGAAAGATATATCCCCGCTCCAACCTAGAAAGATATACACGTACCAACATACAATAACAAGAAGAAATTAAGCATTTATCCAAATAAATTTAAAGGTCAACTATGTGAATCCTTCTTTGCCACTGCATTTGCTTTGTTCATCTACTAGGAGATCTTTAGCAACTAGATATGTACATATTTTCGGAAAATATGAGCCACATACCTGTAATGGAAAGAACTTCACCTACATCTGTGGTTGTGTATTTCAATCCCCCATACCTTCTTGGACTAACAGCCCATAACGAGAATATCTAACGAAAAGGAAAAGGATGTCTAACATGGTAAAGTAGCAACAACAAATAATAAAAATTTAACCATGTCAAATCAACCTATAGAATACATTTTCTAGTCTGTTGATGACTACTGAGTAATGACTATAATGTTCTGCGAGATACACTATCAATAAAATCCAATTACAAATCCATAGTAAGAGGAATTATTGCTTCCACTGACAAATGGTTTGATCTGGAGTTTGAACTGTGAGTTATGTTTTCACTGAACTTACCAACATGTTAATATATAATAAGTGCTTGCATAAAGTAGTACCATACTTGTATATAATATATACTGCATAAGAAAATATGAAAGTAAATCAAAGTTACTTAGAAACCTGTACCAAGATAGCTATGCTGACTACTAGTGTATACATCTATAACCATTTTTTTGTGTAAGGCAGAAGATCAAATTACAAAATCTATGTAAAAAATAATTTTTTGAAGTAAAATAGAAATTGTAAGTTTATTAGCGTGAACTTCGGCAAAGAGAGTCCGATAGCATGCTGGATGTATAGATGTAACAACTTCAAACAAAATGAATTCCTCAGTTCCAGTGTTAACACAACTAAAAATAGAAGAAAATTTCGTGAAGCAAAAGGATTCATAATGTTGTAGCTAACAAATCTTCTATAAAGACAGACCGGAAAAACATAATGACAAAATTACCTCGCTGTAGGCCATATCGTGCATTTGGAATATGCAATATACAATAATAGAAGACATTAAGGGCCAATTCTTTAGGAGGCTCCACTTGGAAGGTAGAAGCCCGCGATCCAAAACATTTATTTCTTCTGACTCGGGATCGTACACTCTTCCCTTTAAAGCAGCTTTGGTATCATCTTGTCCCGTGCTATGGACGTGCAGAGTTTCCTACAGGTATTCATTATTTGAGAAAGGTAACCAAATCATTTCAGGAGTTATACTAACATGAACACTCGGTGAGGCAAAAACTTTATACAAGTTCGCATTCTAGTCAGAAAAAGCTTGATGATCTTATTTAAAGGTACTTATGAATAAGCTATTTCTGTCATGTCCATGTCTTCTTTGGCCATGACAATGCAAATGCAAAAAAGGGATATAATATGGACCATGTGTATGCAAGAAAAGGGGAGAATCAAGACGAGAAGCATACTGGAAGCCAGCAAGAGATAACTGATGCAACCAACGCAATGCAAAAAAGGGATATAATTTGGACCATGTGTATGCAAGAAATGGGGAGAATCAAGACGAGAAGCATACTGGAAGCCAGCAAGAGATAACTGATGCAACCAAAGCAAAGACTGATATCGCAAGACAGGGTAAAAAGTAAGGAAACCTGCAATTTATTTTCACTGTCAGAAACACTAAAATGACAACAACAAAAAAAGGTTAAAAGAAATGAACAAATATCACTACAGTATGGCTTACCTCCCAAAAAGAGATCCTTTAGAAAAGATACGGGGATACTTCTCTGCAGGCTAAGATTATACACAAGTTAGAAGTTTGATGGATGAGCTTTTTTTTCATTGAATAAAGATGTTGAAGAAATTAAATGAAAGGGTGGAAATAAAGAACTTGGATTGCTTTAGCTCCCACATCTGAACATTACTTAAAGTTCTTTTAGTCCGTGTAATTAATACCACCTTAGAACAGGGTGATTAAATGAGAAAACCGGCAGTTATCAGTTTAAGTAATCTCGCCACAGACAGATAACCCATCCCTAATAAGAAGACTAAATCATTCAGGAAAAACATAACGACTCTTTAATTCTTATATGACCACCACCAAAAGTTATCAAAATAGGTGCCTCCATCTGTTATAGAGATCTCTAACATAGCATCTAAAGACCAAGCCCTAGGCCTTGTAAATAGTGTTTGACTTTGTGCACGATCAGGGGTGGAGCCAGAAAATATATTAGGTTGGGCTGAAATATTTTTTTCAATGAACTTGTTCACTAAAAGATGTTCTAAACCACACGATAAAACACAAACTAGAATCAAAATCGGGCAAAATCATGCCCAGCTAACTCATTATGACAAAACTGCTCAAAATCCACCGAACTGGCTGGTTCAACCGTAAACCGATGAACTAGTCGCAGTTTGGTGATTTTCCTTCTTTTTCTTTTTTTTTCTTTTTTTAGTTAAAAAAATTTAATTTCATGAATGGATCTCATAAATTATAATTCAAAAGCCAATAAAAAACTATTGGATGTCATGCTCATATTATAGATGCACTTATCTCAAATGGTTTCATAAATTTCTAATGTGAGATAATGTCTTTTATAGATGCTTTTCTCTCCAATTGTTTCATAAACTTCCAATGTGGGATAGTGACATAATAAAAAAATGTTAAAATGTCCATCAAAAATCATTTTTCAAATGTATGTCTAATTGACTAATTTGATTTTGAATCCAAACTAATTAAATTGTAATATTCACCTTCATCCTTNATAAAATGTCCATCAAAAAATGTATGTCCAATTGACTAATTTGATTTTGAATCCAAACTAATTAAATTGTAATATTCACCTTCATCCTTTCATTTATTTAATTTTCAAATTTAACTTAAATCGCACTTTATTTTTAATATATTAATGTTATATATCATTTTCTATAAGTTTAAAACATTAGTCATAATATATTTTTGAACACTCGTAACAATGTTCTAACAAATATATTTTTAAACTAATAAAATTAAATATATAGCATATTGCTTATTTTGATAATAACATCATTTCAGAAGCAACTTCACGATGAAAAACTAAAAAGAATAAAATTAGCCTAGTCCAGAAATTAATTTCTAGCTCAGAAGCAAATTCATGGTGAAAAACTTTTAAAAAAAAGTAAAATTTGTCGAGCCCAAATATTAATTTTAGCCCAATTAATTTTATTTACAACCTAAGTGTAAAACTGAAATGATACAAAATTAACCAAATATTTAAAATTAAAAAATTGATTTTGGGCTGGGCTAAGCCCACCCCTCCCTCCGCCCTTGTGCGCGATATATTTTCCAGCTTGCCTGTTATCTTCTACTTTTACACTTTAGCATGGAAAATTTTCAGAACATGCACTAAAAGGGTTGTCCATTCTACTTGACTTGTAATAGCTGAATCTGAGATGCTTTATTCTTATCTGATCAACCGACAACCTATTTACACATTTATGCTTAACCTCATTGTCTGATCCTTGAGTGTCTTAACAACGTGACCAGATATATGATTTGTGGGGACTTGGAGGTAGTTACAAATCAACATCTGCACCATGGTAATCTAAAAGGATCAGTGAACAAGTAAGGCAAAGGTTTTCCTGAAAGACAGCAAACTCAGGAGATACAGATGCTATAGCATCTACATACCAGTTTATATATTTTTCCAAATCTTCCATTAAACCACCTTATCTAAAAGCTTAAGTTGTTCAAGAAATGACTAATTTATCTATATGAATTTGGTTTACTGCATGCCTTTAACGTAAAAATCAGATTAATTTTGTCACTGAAGGCCTTGAATGTGATCAGTTTTGTAAATGGGTGAAGTCAACATTAGAACTTCAGACCTTTTCACGGCCTAGCACAATCTAAAACTTAATCTATAAGATAAGGGATAGATTTGTTTATTAAATTTTGCCTTCAACATCTCCCATGTTGTCCAACTACTGTAATCAATAATCTCATTTTATAGTTTAAAGAATTCTTAACAGAGAAATAAATAATCCTCAACGCTGTTCAAGCAGCAGAGAATAGGCAATACCTGTGCAAGAAAACCTCCCACAGCTGGACCAATGACCAAGCCTATGCCCCACGATGTGCTTATCTACAACAAATTAAACGCTGAGCACTCCACTAATGCTTCGAAACAAATCTGGCAGGATTTATTTGAAAGGGGATGAAAGGAGTGAAGGCCTTACAACTGACATCCCCAAAGCTTGGTGTTCTTTACGGCAAATTTCGGAAGCATAAGCCTGAATACTTGGAAGTTTAGAAATATACAGTTCTGGTTATATGATTATGATAAGCTTATATGTATAATGCACATTCTCGTTTTCATGCTCGTGCTCGTGCATGTAAGTAATATTAACACAGGAATACTATAAGGTGAAGAGTGCAGGTAGAAATTTATGCCTTCTGATATAGATGCATACGTAACACTGAAAACTCAGCCAAACAAGTAAAATTTACAATAACAATTCATTATGTAACACAAGATCAACCAGACAATATGGCTAACAATTACAAAAGGTGAATGAGGAAAAGAAACCCAGTTGAGCGATCCTCAAACATTAACAACTGATGAAACCAAATCTAAAATCCTTCGTTAACACATAAAGAATCCCAAAATTAAAGAAAACCGATAAGTAAACTACGACGAACAATGCTATATAAGGAGGAAAATCAAATATTTGACAATTAGCCAATTTCTGGACCATCTATCACCTTAAGCTATGGCAAGGCACATCAATATCTAGATTCGCAAAAAGAAAAGCAAGAAAGATTGGTATAACAAATACGGGTAATGGCCCTATACATATAGGGAAAACCTCAGATGCGGACTCCAGAATACCACTGGAGGCATCTGAGTAAAATGCCGTGGCACAAGCAACGAGTTATCGAGATTAAAGCATCTATTGAAGGAACTTCAACTCCATCCAGATCCTATTTTTCTATCTTGTGATAGTTTTAAAAAAAAAATCGCTTTTGCATTTATTTATACAGCAAACTGCAAAGCATGAAATCCATAGCAGTGGAGGAAACAATATGATGGCAGAATTTTTACTGAGTTGTGGGGAATCTTTGGAGGGAAATAACATCTATAGGCTTCCATTAATCTAGTCATCTTTGACCATTCGTTCCTGAATGACCATAAATAATAATCTAGTATCCATAGATGCTGTCAATTATACCCTCTCCAATTTGACAGTGGGTAGCTCTTCACTTGAACAATTTTGATATAAAACTCCCTTTAATTTCAAAGAAACGTTACAAAAAAATTTCAAAATATGAAATCAACAGACATACCCTCATAGGACCAAGAATTCCACATAAACTTCCTAGAAGGAACCTTGTAGTAATTGCCATCCAAAAGTTCGCACTAAGACCAAAAAGTGTATTGAATATAACCCTGAAATTATTACCAAATAGAAGAGACATAAGAATAATGGGTTTGTAAAAATAATTCAATACAACTAACTCCGGTTTCCACAAAAAAATCAATGGTGGTATAAAAACATGGTGCAGTATTTCTTACACTGAAACTGTGCCAAATATTATTATGGGTTTCCGACCGTATTTATCAGCCACTATTCCCCAGAGAAGAGAAGTTAAAGCTCTTCCAAGCATGAATGCAGATCCTTCAATAAATGTCAGACATATGGTGAATAAAAGCTCCAGCAATACTGTCAACTTTAGGGTGAAACGGTGAGAAAAAGAAACTTACCCACATATCCAGCATAATAACTAATATCTTCCTCCCTTTTTGCAATATGAAAGTCCCTAATCTGTAGTAGAAAAACATATCATTGATTCTAAAATATAACGTGATAAGTAACAATATTAAAGGCTTTCACATAATGAAAATATGAAGCAGATCCAACACAGATAGAGCAAAGTTGTCGCACAAAAGAACCAGTAAAATTCAATTGGTGTTATAAATTAAGATTTCAAAAAAATATAATTGTGAACAGAGCAAGAAGCAATAATTCAATTTTTACAGCCCGCTTCTCAAAACAATTTGACTTCTACCAAAACCTCAAGGATGGCAGTGTCCTCATTACGGATGCAAGACACACCTTAACAACACATTTTCCTCTCTACTAAAGTGTCTTCAGATTTTTTTTCTTTTTTCCATATAAATTACTCAACTGAAGCACAAGAGAAAACGCACTCTAACTCTGCTTGCTGCCTTTTTGTTGCGAAGATAAGGAAATATTGACAATGGTGCTTTCTCTAACCAGTCATATCCGGCTAAGACATGAACGCACATTTAGCTCTACGTGAATAGTGCATTTAAAGGTGTGACATGGAAGAGAACCGTTGCCATAGTTGGGTTTCAAACAAAATGACCTTCCGAGCTTTTAATTTTAGTTGTGTGCATGAAATCTTGGTCAATACCAGCAAAAAATCTCTAAACAAGGTTTAGCACCATGCCAAATGTGTCCGAAGAAGAGCAAAGCAAACGAAGCATGTCCAAAAGTAAACCAACCCCTTGGACCACTACCAAAAACGCCATCTTATTTCAAAGCAGCGTTCTAATTAAAAAATCCACCCAATTGAGCATCATTAGCATATTTTTTCATAGCAGCAGCGTAGCAGGATCACTATAACTGACTCCATTGAGTTCGCCAATAATTAGCTTTTACAGCACCACTTTTCAGGTTAACTCATTTTCAGAATCAACATTTAGCTTTGAGCACTTCTTTATTTTCTGGTCCAATTATAGGAAAGCATTATTGGTACCTCAGAACAAAATTATTTCTACTCGCTCCAAATTCATCATTTTTCCACATAAAAAATGGATCTGTTTCCATACAGCAGCTCTTGTGCAATCTATCTTATCAGGTGCGTATTTTTCAGAGACAAATTCATGAAAAGAAACAGCAAAGCCACATGTATAGTTTAATTTTTGTTATTTAAAATTGATGAAAGATACGATAGTCAATAATGAGTTCAAGGTCGGTAGAGAAATGCGTACCATAAAGTATAGGAAAGGAAAGAGAGATGATATTGGCAAAGCTGTCAAATTGCACCAAAAGAAATTATCAATAAGGATGCAATTACTATATGTAGAAATTACATGCAAGAAAATAAGCACGAGCAATTAGACTAAAACAACACTTTAAGAAGTTCATTTTCCAATGCGATAGATATAAGTGATGCAGTCACCCATTTCTAGACAAACCGATTTGCAGCTAGAATGCCTATTTCGACACGGGACCATGAATGGTCCACAGTGAAAAGGTTATGGAAGTTAAGATGAACCGACGTAAAAGTAATATTGATATAAAAGGTGTGTTTGAATCTAATTTTTAGGAGAATAGAAATTTTGAAATAGTGATTGATGTGAGAATGTGTGGTGAAAAAGTAATGAAAAGTTTTTGATTTGTGTGTATTATTATTTTATTTGGAAAATGTGTGGTTGAAATGAAGAATGAAAATGAGAAATAGAATGAGAATGAGAAATTAACAGGTGTCAAACGGGGGCAAAATGACCTGAAAGGACGTTATAATGATATTAAGAATAAAATGTACTGAATATTATATTTCATCCAAATATTGTTGAAATTCTATTTAATATAATGGAATTTTATTGCTAATAGTCTTTTATAAGTCATTTGAAAACGTATTTTTAAAATATACAGTATTTGAAATTATATAGAGTATTTAAACTATATTTTAGTAAATAATAAAAAATAATTTAATTAGTTAATAATCTCCTGAATACCATATTCTAGAAAAGTAACTAAGCTATAATTTAGTTAAGAATAAAACAATTTAACTAAATATTTAATTACTCTTAATTGATTTATTTATTATTTTAAATTTTAATAATATATTCTAAAACTTTTAATATTTCACTATTAATTGCTTTTCTAATGTAGAAAAGGAAACTTGTAAACGTAGACAAAATATATTTAAACTAAAATTTACTTTACTCATAAATAATTAACTAAGCTTGGCATTCCTAATGAACGTAATTGGGAAGCTTCTGTCCCACTATCAACCGAATTATTCTAACTTATCAGTCTTCTTGTTCAGAACCCATAAAGCAGACACAGTGCAGATACTAATAAAAAGAATATTTGGTTGAGCTTGGAAGAGAGTTCGTTTGAATAACTTACATGCCATTTTGGAAGAATTTATAAATGGTTTAAATTATTTAAATAAGTGGGTAATATCATTGAAATGTATGATCAAAAATGAAATTTGACCATTTACAAATGGAGGGTAATTTTTCCTACTTTTAACTGTTTAAGTGGAAAGCTAACGAAAATAACTCTCAGCTTAACCTCAAATTCTGTACCTAATTATTTCCAAAGTATCAGTTACTTTAAAACTCGCTAATAAGTAGAACTTTTAAGCAATTCCAAACACAACTGCAGCCCGAACAACAGAATGAACTACAGTATTCATCGATTTCTCTCAATAAGATCCCACGCAATTACACCTAGCATCTCAGCTTCACGAACAAAGAAAATAATAAAAGCAGAACAAAATTTAAAAGAAAAAAATAATTAAACACAAAAAATAACATTTATCAAATCTACGTAGTATAGTTTCGCGCTGTGTGTGTATGCGTGATTGGGGTTGAGAAAGGATATTTTCACCTGCGCAGAGAGTGATAATCCAGATGAAGAAGAAATGCTTGAGAGGAATACCATTGCTGGACTGTTTAAATTTTTCAACATCACAGCCTGGGCAATTCTCGTGATACCTTAATTTTCCTCCTCCTTCTTCATCTTCTCTCTTCAGTAATGGTACCTTGTTGTCCGCCATTTTTTCTGCAGATTTTCCCTCGAGTCGGTGCACTCTTTCGTCGAGAATTTTCTCTCGAACCTGTGTATCAAATAAAGTTGATTTTTTTTTTCTCTCATTTATTTAGTCCATGTGAACATTCCCTTTCCAGACAAAGACCGTCCACAAAAATTGACGTTCTTTGAACGCGAAATGCTTTCTATTTTAAAAGTTCAACATTTAAAATAATACTCTAAAAAATTCTTTAAATTAATATTTTACAGTCTCGTTCTCCTACCCGCGACGGTCAAACTTATAATGTCCACTCGGAGAGAACCCAACGTGGGGTTCTCACATTTGGAAAGAACCCCACGTAGAGTTCTCCTGCCACATCAGCAGGTGGACAGGATAAGCCTGCCCGCCGCGGGCAGGAGAACATTTTCGTAATATTTTAATTTAAAGAGCTCATTATCTATAATTAAATATATTCAAAGTGTTCAATTTTCAATTAATGAAAACAATAAATTAATTTTAAAAAAGTTAGTTAAAATAAAAGATAAAGAAAAATAATAAATATTTTTTGAGAGTAGTAAAATTAAGTGTTAAATATAAAATGCTTATTGGAGTATTTCAAAATTTTAACTCTCTAAATTCACATACGCTCTCGAAATGATAGAACGTGTTCTTTAAAAATATAGAGCCTCTTGAATATGCTCTTATACTTTAGCTCGTTTGGATTCCATTATTTTAAAAATACATTTATTTTAAAGATACATTTTTTAAAGTTATTTTTAATCAAATATTTTTTCACAAAATAATATCACGTATAAATTTAAAAAAATTATTATCTTTTAACCACACATTCTCCAAAAAAACATCATTTTAATCCCTGGTTTGGCCCCATTATTCCAAATTAAAATGAGAATAATAGTAATTTTTTGGATAATGTGTGATTAAAAAAAGAAATATTTTTGAATTTACGTGTAATATTATTTTATTTGAGAATGTGTGATTGATAAAAAGATAAAGAAAAATAAATTATAATTTAATGAAGAATAATGGGGATCAAACGGAAGCTAAATTATATGAATCATGCTACAAGTACATTAATTTTGACATCAACTTTGACATTGTGCCACGTGTCGAAGCATGATTGGACAATTTTTAAACACCACACACTTTTCCGCCCATTTGCATTTGAATTCACATGGAGTGTCAAACTCCATGTGAACCATGAAATGTACAACAAGCCAGATTCAAATTATATTTTCTCCTAAAATCACATTAAAATGATGTCCAGTCGACTAATAAGTCATGCTCTATTCATAACTCTCGTGTTTGGCCAATCTTAAAAAGTGAAGGGGTAAGTAGATAGATTTTTTAAAAAATTATAATTTTTATTTGAATTTATAATAATTTACTTACTGTAATAATTATTTAAAATTGATAATTAAAGTGTAAAGAGGTAGCTTATGTTTGGAAATAATAAAAGCAAGTGCTGAACGAAACGTCACGTTAGCTTTGGCCTTTCTTTTTGTAGTTGTACAGCTTTAGAATATGATTATGATAAATTGACTAGATTTATCTGCCAGATTACGTAAGTTGTTTTATTGAGACGTTTACACTTTACATTAGTTTAACTCTTGTTAGAATTTGACGATGATCATTCAATTTTGTTTTTTTCAATTGTTTAAAGCATGTTACTGTGGTATTTAGGTAAAGTTCTGAAATTCAATTATTGTTATTGTACGAGGACAGTATGCAGCTCAACATTCGTGGTAAGATCGTCTTAGAGGTTGTAGGGTGCGTGAAAAACAGGACCCTCGAATTTTTTTTTTATTATTAAAAACAGTTTTCGAAAACCTTACACATGTAATTTCAATTTTACCTAATTTGTCTTGTAAATAGGAGTCGTCATTAGGGTCATTAGAAAACAGAGAGGCCAGAGAAGATAAAGTGGTAGATTTTTTTTTTATAAAGTTTTTTCATTGTAGTGAATTACTACAACATGCTCTTACTATATTGAGGCAATCATTTATAAATTTTGTATATTCTTAGTTGTTTGGCCCATGTTTGATCAAGATTAAAATCTGATTTTAATTCAAGTCAAAGTCAAATAATCAATATTAACCACAGCTTTCGTGGGTCCCATAATTTTTCAACCACACATTTCAAAAACTTTTATCAAAATATACAAAAAATCTAGAGAGTGTTTGGTGTAGATTAAAATCAGATTTGAAGTGGATAGCGATAGAAGTTTTTGAAATGTGTGATTGAAGAGATGTAGTTAATATTGATTGTTTGACTTTGACTTAGATTAAAATCATATTAAAATCTGGCCCAAATTTTAATCCTTATCAAACACCATCTTAATTTTCTTTACGCGAATTAATTGCTCTATATGTAATAGAATTATAGTTTTTATTTTTTATCAATAAATAAAAATGTGCGATGATGAGTGACAGTGCTTGCAAATTTTTTAAATAGATAAATAATAGTCTAATCCAATATAAAAAATTTATAAATTGTAGCCACGAGAAGATCCTGGTTTGGAGACAGAATTGATTCTCTCGGATATGGATTAATTTCATAAAATTGATTAAAATTTTATTTATGAAATCTCCCAAATGCCCTTCAACTCTCTGTGTGAATTATTCTGATAGTGATAACGTGGGCCCGGTGGGAACGGGTTGCTTGTCATCTGGATTTATTCCGTTATGTTTGTGGTTATGTTTATAGAAGAAAAGAAATTGTGCGAAAGTATTTGAACGTGACATCGAAAGCAACAAAGGGAAATAGAGAGATCGAATGGAAAATAATGTCCTAATTTAATTTAATATTAAAAAAATTATAAATTGTAGCCACGAGAAGATCATGGTTTGGAGACAAAGAATTGATTCTCTCGGATGTGGATCAATTTCATAAAATTGATTAAATTTTTATTTATGAAATCTCCCAAATGCCCCTCAACTCTCTGTGAATTATTCTGATAGTGATAATGTGGGCCCGTTGGGAACGGGTTGCTTGTCAACTGAATTTATTCCGTTATGTTTGTGGTTACGTTTATAGAAGAAAAAAAATTGTGCGGAAGTATTTGAATGTGACATTGAAAGCAGCATAGAAAGATCGAATGGAAAATAAAGTCCTAATTTATTTTATTTTTTTCTTTTAATAAAATTTTTCTTATTAATCAATTAATTATATATAATTGAAAAAGCCATTGCGGTTTAGTATTTTTCAGCGACTAGATGGGAGCGGATTATTTTCTACCTTCTTGTTCTTTACGTTTTTCTCTCTCGTTTTATATTTTCCTTTTTTGGGTTTGTCGAGGAATTAAGACAAGCGGATAAAAGTACCATAAAAACATAATTCACATGCAAGACATTGTAACTAACAAAATTACCAGTTTCCACCCAATTGAAACCTACTTGTCAAGTTCCAGAAGTCGTAGGATTAAAAATCTAATAAAATAAAATGGAGATCTAATTGCTATATTTTGTGAAGGTTTGTCCTCAACTGCAATTCTTGTTCAAATGAATAACGACAAGTTTGACAACTGTAAATGGATAAGTACTTTTTATGGGTTGTTTGAATAAAAGATTATAACGGATTTTGACTTTAAAATATTATAAAATTTGTAGTTAAAAAGTTAATAAAAATTATGAATCTCATAAAATGGGTGGTTAAAATTTAATGTTGACATTAATCTTAACATTTTACTAACTTTTTTAAATATCCCAATAACGAGTAATATTATTCTTTTTCACCGGGGTGGAGCATCAGTCAATATGATTATTTCATGGTATTAAATGATAAGTTTATTTAAATGTAAAATCATATGATTCATTCAATTGAGCATATAAAGTGTTGTCACTAAAACTGATACCGAACCCAACGGAAATGAATAGTGTCACTCTTGCAAAGTCACATGACTCGTTTTTAAAAATAGAAATTTAGAGCCCGTTTGGTAGACATTAAAATGAAAAAAAGAGCCGTTGGGCTCATATTCCGACCATTTTTATTTTATTTTTATTTTTGACTTTTTATCTCTATGGTGGGTCTCAGGTTGGCCCACTAACGATCACATTTTTCTACAAACTTTCATTTTAATGCCTACCAAACTGGCTCTTAATCAAGTTAATGATAAATGTAAATGGATAAGTACTTTGTATGTTGAATTAAATGAGTCGTGTGACTTTGCATTTGATCAATTCAATTGAAATTTTACTCATTTATTTTGAGATTTCAAAAATAGAAATTTAATCAATTTAATTGACATTTTACTTATTAGATTTCCTTCCGTGCATAAGATCACGAAAAATAGAGAAGTTGGATAAAATAGAATTGATTTTCTCCATGATGGATTAAATTCCTGTTTGGTTTGGGTCAAAGTCAAACAATCAACATTAATCACATCTTTCGTGGGTCTTACAACTTTTCAACTACATATTTCAGAATTTTTTATCAAAATTTATTAAAAATCTAATTTTAATCATTACCAAACACCCTCTAATTTCATAAAGTTGATTAAATTTCTATTTTTGAAATCTTGAAAATGCCCACAAACCTGTAGGTGCCTTTCTTGTGAAGAGAGAGACAATGATAGTGGGGGGAACAGATTACTTTTCCCACTGGATTTCTTCGGGCCCTACATTTTCAAGCATTTGTGCGTCGTGTTCGTGACTTTACTTAAAAGAAAAGAAGTTGTACGAAATTATTGTTAAAACTTTAATTAAAATAGGTTTTCATTTTTCAATTGAGTTTATTATAATAAAGAAGCCCGCATAAGGCTTGATTTGTTTTTTTCCATTCTCTCGTTTTATTTGTCACACATTATTTTCTAGTTTGAAAAATATTGCAATTACTTTTTGTAGGAGTACATGTTTGGAACTTTTGTAAGTAAATTGAAGTAAAAATAGTAGCGGCGTCAAAAACTTTGATTATAATAAAGTGCAGTTAGTGACATATTTAGGAAAGTTGTGGTTCAATTTGTTTGACAACTTGAATTTGGTATTGAGAAATTGAGGATTGTAATTCTGTTG